CTTTTAAGGGATCTAGATTTTATTCTGTAGGCAAATGACTGCAGAAGCAGATCTGTGTTTTAAAAAATAATTCTGGAAATAATAAGAAAGATTAGAGGAAGAAAGACAAATAAAAAGGCAGATAATGGCCAGAATAGGCAATGCAAAGGATATTAAGAATCTAAACTACACACGTGACAATGTCACTGAGGAGAAGCTATTACCAGAAATGAAGGAGGTCTTTAGCAAGAAGGCATAATAATTCTAAACATATATTGAGCTAATATCAAAAATTCAAGATACCTGAAGCAAAAACTGACAGAACTTCAAGAAGAAATATGTAAATACATAATTATAGTCAGGGATTTCAACATACCTTTCTGAATGGTCTATAGAACAGGTAGCTAGAAAGTCAGTAATGATATAAAAGAACAATACGATCAACCAATTGTTGATTCTAAAAATGACATTTCTAAAACCCTCCAACCAAAAACAGCAGAATATTTTAGATTAATGTAGAGCACTTATCAAGATAGAACATGTTGAGCTATAAAACAAGTTTAATAAATTTAAAAGGATCAAAGCAAAAAAGTATATTTTATGACAAACAAAGCATGATATCAGTATTCAAAGCCAATACAAACAGTTAATTGTATTTCTACATAAAAGTAACAAAAGATTGGAAGGTAAAATGAAAAAATTTAATAAAATATGGAATACTTAGGGATAAATTTGATAAAACCAAAAACTACAAATTATCTCAGAGGACTTTAAAAAAGGCTAAATAAATGGAGATATATATTCATAAATGTATTCATGTGTCAGAAGATTTGTTTTTATTAGGATGTTAGTCTTTATATTCAATGCAACCCAGGAAGAATTTTTGTGGAAATTAACAAACTAATTCAAAAATTTGCATGGAAGTGCAAAAGATATGGAATTGCTAAAATAACTTTTAAAAAGAAGAAAAATTCTTGGAAAACTAACAGTAGATGATTTCAAGATTTATTTTGAAGCTACTGTTATTCAAAAAATGTTGAATTGATGTTAAACATATAGATCAATTGGAAAAAAAATATCAAGTATAAAAATAGACACCCACATATATGGCCAATGAATTTTCAACAAAGATTCCAAGGCAATTTAATGAGGAGGAAATAACCATTTAAACAAATGATAATGGGGCTACCCATATGTGTAAAAAAAATCTCATACCTTTCTTCACCCCACATAAAAAGTTTACATACAACAGATCTTAAACTTAAGTGTAAGATACAGAACAATGAAATTTTTAGGAGAAAACTTAACTAATAAGAAGTAATCTTAATGATCCTCAGCTTGGCAAACATTTCTTAACTATGGCACAAAGAAAGAAAAATTATGTGTTTCTCCAAAGAAGATATGCAAATAGAAAATAAGCACATGAAAAGATGCCTAACATCAGTAGTCATTAGAGAAATACACATTAAAATTATAAGCAGATATGCCTATATTCCTACTAGAGTAGCTAAAATGAAAAAGACCAACCATACCAAGTGTCGTCAAGGATGTGGAACAACTTCAACTCCAGCTGCTGTTGGTCAGAACATAAAATAATATATCACTTGGGAAAATAGTTTGGCAGTTTTTTTAAAAGTTAAACATAGCCTACCTATTCTAGGTATTTTCTCAAGAAAAATAAAAGCATATGTCCACACAAAGACTCATACCTAAATGTTCATAGCAGCTTTATTTGTAATAGCCAAAAACTGGAACAATCCAAATGACCAAGTGATCAAATTTAAAAATTGTGTAATATTTATATAATGGAATACAACCTGGCAATAAAAAGGAATAAAATATTGCTACATACAACAGCATGAATGAATCTCAAAATAACTGTATTTAGTTAGAGAAGCCAGACCAAAATAATAAAATAAAAAAAGAATATACACTATAGGATTCTATTTACATAAGAGTCCAAAAAAATGCAAAATAATCTACAGTGACAGAAAACAGATCAGTGATTGCTCAGGGACCTATCTATGGGGTGGAAGGGTGGGAGCAGAGAAAGAAAAATTACAAATGGTCACGGTGAGAACTTCTGAGTGATAACCATGTTCATTATCTTAATTATGATGATTGTGCCACAGGTATATACATAGGTCAAAACTCATCAAACTGTACAATTTAAATAAATGCAACTTGTTGTATGTAGGCTATAATTCAATAAAGCTGTTTTTAAAATATCTCATATATTTTTAAAATTTTTAACTGTAGGAATCCTGGTACCATTCTTATATCTGGTAGAGACTACCACCTGTATATATTTCTGTTCACCCTGAATCTTTGCCAATATCTGATCTTAAAAATCAAAATTACTCTTGATTCTAGTTATTCAGGAGACTTTTTTTTACTTACACCTGTCTTTTAAAAGCTTCACATCAATGTTTCTTGCCCTAAATTTTTACAGCTACCTCTGCTATAACTTAACATTTATAGTGCTTTTTAATTTTGCCTCTAGAATCTTCCAAATATACTTGTTTACTATTTATACTGTACACCATTTGTATACATACACTAACCAAATTTTATATATAAGCTCCAGCTAACATCCAACTTTTAAGTATTGAAAGTTTTCTTTTTTTAATTCCTCATTTTATTTTATTTTATTTCAGCATTATAAGGGGATATGTTTAGATTGCATATATTGCCTTTGCCCCACCGGAGTCAGAGCTTCAAGCATGTCCATCCCCCAGATGGTGTGCATCACACCCATTAGGTGTATATATACCCATCCCCTCCTCCCCTCTCTCATCTGCCCAACATCAGATGAATGTTACTACTATATGTGCACATAGGTGTTGATCAATTAATAACGATTTGATGGAGGTACATGTGGTGCTTGTTTTTCAATTTTTGTGATACTTCACTTAGTAGAATGGGCTCCAGCTCTATGCAGGATAATACAAGAGGTACTAGATCACCATCGTTTTTTCTGGCTGAGTAGAACTCCATGGTATACATGTACCATATTTTATTAATACACTCATGGGTCAATGGGCACTTGGGTTGTTTGCAAATCTTTGCAGTTGTGAATTGTGCTACTATAAACATTTGAGTGCAGATGTCTTTTGTATAGAATGTCTTTTTTTCCTTTGGGTAGATGTCTAGTAATAGGATTGCTGGATCAAATGGTAGTTCTACTTTTAGCTCTTTGAGGCATCTCCATATTAATTTCCACAGAGGTTGTAGTAATTTACAATCCCACTAGCAGTGTAGGAGTGTTCCTATCCCTCTGCATCCATGCTAATATTTATTATTTTGGGACTTTTTGATAAAAGCCATTCTCACTAGAGTTAAGTGATATCTCATTGTGGTTTTGATTTACATTTCCCTGATGATTAGAGATATTGAGCATTTCTTCAGATGTTTGTTGGCCATTACTCTATCTTCTTTTAAAAAGTTTCTGTTCATGTCCTTTTCCCAATTTTTAATGGGCTTGTTTAATTTTTCTTGCTGATTTTCCGGAGTTCCATATAGATTCTAGTTATCAGCCCTTTATCGGATGTGTAGCATGCAAATTTTGTCCCATTCTGTATGTTGTCTGCTCTCATGATAATTTCCTTGGCTGTGCAGAAGCTTTTTAATTTGATCAGGTCTCATTTATTTATTTTTGTTGTTGCTATGATTGCCTTTGAGGTCTTCTTCATAAATTCTTTCCCTATACCAATGTCTATAAGAATTTTTGCAACATTTTCTTCTAGAATTCTTATAGTTTCATGCCTTAGGCTTAAGTCTGTGATCCACCAAGATGTGTGTTGAGATTTTCTAATGTTGCCAGTTGATAAATTCCATCTTTATTAAACAGACCTTCTAATTTAGACAATCAAGTTTACCTGGATTTAAGTATCTCAGAAAACATAAAATGTAAAGGACTTAGAAATTTCAAAAGAGCAACCTCCATTCTACATTGCCTAGATAATAATGTTTTTCAACTTCAAATCTAGCACATACAAGAAAGTGTGCTTGCAATTTTTTATAATATTCTCAAAAACCTACTTTAAATTATACATTTGTAGCTACTGAGGCAATGAAAAATGTGACAAAAATCCAGCAACTATAGAGCATCAAAGCTTAACATAGTCTGGAATCATCAACTTAAGAGTTTTCACTAAACAGAGAAATGCACTTATCAAATTTTTAAAACTTTAAGAGAATCATCTTAACATTTCAGCATACTACAACAATTTGTAGCTAGTCAAAATGTTTTCCCAAAAGTTGTCATAACCGTAAAAACTGGATATCTTTCAATAACAGACATCTTAGAACACTATAGTATTGTTAAGCTTTGATGCTCTTTCAAAACTTCAACGGCTGATACTACAGTCATTCAATTTTATTCTAGGTTGCTCTTCATCACAAGTTCAGAGTGCAAAAAAACATAAGCCAAGTTTCCAAGGACTCATCACATTCTCAGCTGAAATGAAATTAAAACCAAACAGGAATGTGCCCTCAAGGTCTTCTAAGTATATTTTTCTTCATATTTACACACTTTAAAAAAAAAAATTTCATCTACAACCATCTTCACTTCATTGAACTGAAGATTTTTACAAAGGAAATAAGTTTCCCTATGCAGACACTGAAATGGGAAATATGCAGGAAGATAAGGAATAACACTTAGGCTGAAACTAGGAAAGGAATGCTTGTCTCAGAAGAAACTGAATGAAAAGAGAATAAGAGATATGATGAATTATAATAAGGAGAAAGAGAACACTGCATAACTTTAGATGTGGGACTAAAACCCAAGGAATTTAAAGTAGATGACAGATCTGCAGAAAAGAATGTGGCTTTTCCACTAAAAACTACATATATACTTACAAAGGGAAGGCAAAGAAAGAAAATATGGCTGCAACTTTACCCTTATCAACAGGGTTTACCACAGAAATTATATTTTAAGTAATGATTTCAATCACAAGCTTATTTCATTTCAAAATAGGTATTTTACAGATTTTTATATACTTTAATGAAAATAACATAAATGCTTTTAAACTGCTACAGTTTTTATTGTTCATGTTCCAGCCTGCACTACAAGTCTTGAAGTTCCTTTTTGTTTACCCTATTTACAAAGCTACTTCCAGATGCCTACCCTTTTCTTAAATGTGTACTTCCAGAACCACCTAGTTTTTAATTGCCATCTTAGGTGGGACCTGACTACAGTTCAGGAGGAAGTCTTTTTTCATTCTGTATTAATGACACCCTCTATTTCAAGAGTGGGAGCCTGTCCATTTTTGGTATTAGCCAAATCTTCTGGAACAGAATCTGTTTTTAAAACCTCTTGAAATTTTGTATCATCTTTCAAGTCAACTGACCCTAGTTTTACTGGGATGCCCCCTACTTGGGGTGATTGAAGTTCAGTAAACACATTCTCTCTTAGAGGTGAAACTTCAGCAGAAATCTCTTGTATAGAAAAGTCTTCCACAGGAAGCAAATCAGCTAGTGGAGGATGTTTGTAAACGGGGGCATCTTCAATAGGGGTATCCTCAGCTGGTAGAATCTAAACTTCAGGAGGGGTCTCTTCTGTAGAAGCCTCCTCAGCTGGTGGAACTGGAACTTCAGCAGGAGTCTCTTTTATAGGCGCCTCATCATCTGATGGAAACTGAACTTCAGGAGTGGTCTCTTCTGTAGGAGCCTCAACATCTTGTGGAAACTGAACTTCAGGAGTGGTCTCTTCTGTAGGAGCCTCCTCAGTTGATGGAGGCTGAATCTCCACAGAGGCATCTTCTACAGGTGCCTCCTCAGCTGGTGGAGGCTGAATCTCAGCAGGGACCTCTTCTGCAGGGGCCTCCTCAGTTGATGGAGGCTGAATCTCCACAGAGGCATCTTCTACAGGTACCTCCTCAGCTGGTGGAGGCTGAATCTCAGCAGGGACCTCTTCTGCAGGGGCCTCCTCAGTTGATGGAGGCTGAATCTCCACAGAAGCATCTTCTACAGGTGGCTCCTCAGCTGGTGGAGGCTGAATCTCAGCAGGGACCTCTTCTGCAGGGGCCTCCTCAGTTGATGGAGGCTGAATCTCCACAGAAGCATCTTCTACAGGTGCCTCCTCAGCTGGTGGAGGCTGAATCTCAGCAGGGACCTCTTCTGCAGGGGCCTCCTCCGCTAGTGGAGACTGGACTTCATCAGGGGCTGCTTCTGAAGGAGCCTCAGTAGCTGCTAAAACCTGAATATCATCAGAGGCCTCTTCTGCCATGGTCTCTTCAGCTGATGGAGGCTGAACGTTAGCAGGGATCTCTTCAGCAGTGATATGCTCTACTTTATCTGAGGCCTCACCAAGCCCCTCCTCAACTTGAGGGAGCAGTACTTCAACAGGAACCTCTTCTGCTAGGGGAGGCTGAATTTCAGCAGGAGGCTCTGTTGAAGGAATCTCTTCACCTGGTTGGGGCTTTAGTTCATCAGGAGGTTCTTCTGAAAAAGCCACTTCAGCTGGTGGAGGCTGAACTTCAGCAGGAGTTTCTTCAGTTGGAGTCTGTACTTGGACAGGAGTCTCCTCAGCAGGGCTGGGCTCTACTTCTGCAGTGGCCTCTTCAGTTGGTGAAGGCTGCACTTCAGTAGGGACTTCTGCTGTTGCTGGAGGCTCTATTTCAGCAGAAGCCTCCTTTTTATCAACAGAACCCTCTTCTACAACCTCTTGCCTAAGCTCATCTTCTACTGGAGAACCTTTTGTGGTTTCCTGAGTTAATGAAGATCCGCTGATACTTTTCTGCATAATTTCTTCATTGCTACATGTTGCTGGTTGAAATTCAGGCTGTTCACTAACAAAAATCTTTCCTGAAGATTTACGTTTCTGGACACCTTCCATTGAGTTTGAAAAAGAACTACCTGGCCTGTAAGTATCCACTATTTTTGATTCACTAAAGTTTGTCTGCTGTCCCTTGTCCACTTTTTCTTTTGGGGGCATATTCATCATGGTCCAGTCTCCAGTACAACTGGTCTGCTGAGATCTATCCATTGTTAGTTGAATTGAGTGTCTATGTGGTGGAATTTCTACTTCCTGAATACACTCTGGCAATTCAGTGGCTGCTTCTCCAACACCAGCTGGCTTTTCTTCAGGTATCATTGTTTCATCAATTAACTTGATTTCTTTTTTCTCTAATACACTAGGGACTGTCTGCAGAGATTTATCACTCATTTCCTGTCCATGCTTTCTCTTTGTCCAAGTTTGCTGAAGTTGAGAAGATACTCTAAGAGGCTCATAGTCTTTGGCAGAGTAGTTGCCTTTGCTTCCAGGAATATTACCAATGCTATGGGTAGCTTTGGGGCCAGATGATTGTGGTGTGGCCGGGTGTTTCTTTTTCTCTGTCTTTTTCTCTGTTTCTTTTTCTCTGTGTTTCTTTTTCTCTGTCATGTCAGTCTGCTGGGATTTGTCTACCATTGGTTGGCTGAGTCGTCTTCTCTTTCTAATTTCTTGCCTCCCTGCTGAGATAGCCTGATCAGGTTCATCACTTTCTTCCATTTCTAAGGCTGGTGAATTTCAAATGTATTAATCTTTAAGTAATTAATCATCAAGAATCACAAACGTACCAGGTGATTAAACCTTTACCTTTCTTCATTAAGTGTTGTTCTGTTGAGCTCCCTCAGAAACGAGTAATTCATAAATTATTGCATTCTATACTACACTCTTGTTGGATCCCACCTTATTCAGTAAGCATCTTGTTTAGTCTCTATTATAACTAAATCTCACTTTTAGAAGTTTTCCCTCAAGGGTCTATGACATCACAGCCAATCTTCCTGCAAGATTCCATCGGTAATATTCCCAGTACTTTTTAACTTGGTATACACTCATAAGTGATGACATCTACTTTTTGAAACAAATAAAGCTGAAAAAAGCTTTTGTCTACAAAGGACCATCAAGTAAACTCCAGTAATGTCACTTTCTAATTGTTGTCATTGATGCTTTTAAACTTTCAACTCTGTTCTTTTCATCCTACTATTGAAGACAGTTATAACACAGAACTCAGAATGCTGAAGCCTATTTTCAATCATTGTAAAAAACAACTGATAACATATGTGTGGGGATATTCTATTAATATATAATGACATGACTATAAAGTAAGTTAATACTGTTTGAAAAACTTGAAATTTGAAATTCATCTCCATGTAAGCTCTGTTTCCACATCCTTAAGCTTCAGTAACCACAACAGCCTACCACCAAAATATAGAAAGAATGTTTCCTTCTCAAATATCTTGGGATATATTTTTATTTTCAACTGTTTCAGAAAGTAGTTCCACCCAAAATTTGCCAAATAACATAATGTTGAGTTTAAATATATGCCAAGTAAAGCAAAATGCATCTTTTGAGGCAGTCAGTAGAGTCTGCTGAGTAACCACATGGGAATGAATGCCCCCAATGAAGGTGAAAACTCTAAATTGAAGCTTTGAGAAAGAGGAACTCCAGTAGAGCAGATTATAGATGATATTGTATTAGATTTGGAATACAGATAACATTTTAACTCATACGTCACACTAGAATTTTACTAGAAAGATGAAAATTGATCAAAAGTATCCATAAACATTGTGCATTAGTCTGAGGAAAGCTAAAAAGGAGAAAATAGACTAGTAAAATATAGTTATAGGAGACAAAGTTATAAATATATGCTAAAAAATAATCATGACTTCATTAATCTGGGAATATTTTAAAATTTCTTTATGCTGTATTTCCCCTAGAAAACACAACAGTGAATTGAATATTTCCACTTCTTTCATATGCATTGGGGTTATCAGCTGAGTGTTTGTATCCTTACACTCTACCCATCCATAAATTCATATGTTGAAGCCCAACCCCCAATATTATGGAATTAGGAGGTGGGATCTTTGGGAGTTGCAGGCATATGTCATTTGATTGCACTTCACCTTTTGCACTTTGCAGATACTACCATTTTTTTTTTTTACAAATTGAAGTTTTGTGGCAACTCTGTGTCAAACAAATCGATCATCATTTTTCCAACAGTATATGTTCACTTTGTGTCTCTGTCAAATTTTGATTATTATCACAATATTTCAAAAATTTTAATTATTATAGTAATTGGGGTGCCATGAACCATGCCCATATAAGACATCAAACTTAATAGATTAATGTTGTGTGTGTTCTGACTGTTCCATTGATTGTCTGTCCCCCCAGCTCTCTCCCTTTCCTCAGGCCTCTCTATTCCCTGAAACATAATATTGAAATTAGGCCAATTAACCCTACAGTGGCCTCTATGTGTTCAAGCGAATTACACATCTCTCCCTTCAAATCAAAAGCTGGAAGTGATTAAGGTTAGTATAGAAGTCATGTCGAAAGCCAAGATGGGCTGAAAGCTAGGCCTCTTGGGTCAGCAAAGTTGTGAAAGCAAAGGAAGAATTTTTGAAGGAAATTAAAAGTGCTACTTCAGTGAAAACATGAATGATAAGAAATTGAAACAAACCTTATTGCTAATATAGAGAAAGTTCTAGATAAAAGATCAAACCAGTCACAACATTCCCTTAAGCCAAAGCCTAATCCAGAGTAAGGCCCTATCTCTTTTCAACTCTATAGAGGCTGAGAGAGGTTCGAAAGCTGCAGAAGAAAAGTTGGAAGCTAGCAGAAGTTGGTCCATGAGGTTTAAGGAAAGAAGCTGTCTTGATAACATAAAAGTACAAGGCGTAGCAAGTTATCCAGAAGATCTAGCTAAGATCACTAATGAAGGTGGCTATACCAAACAACTTTGTCATGGAAGAAGGTGCCATCTAGGACTTTCACAGCTAGAGAGGAAAAGTCACTTTTTCACTTCAAAGCTTCAAAGTACAGGCTGACTCTCTTATTAGGGACTAATGCGACTAGTGACTTAAATTGAAGCCAATGCTCATTGACCATGCTGAGAATTCTAAGACCCTAAAAAATTATGCTAACCTTACTCTGCCTGTGCTCTATAAACGAAACAACAAAGCCTGGATGACAGCACATTTGTTTACAACATGGCTTACTGAATATTTTAAGCCCACTGTGGAGACCAATTGCTTAGAATACAAGATTCATTTCAAAATATTACTGTTCATTGACAATGCACGTGGTTACCTAAGATCTCTGATAAAGATGTACAAGGATATTAATCTTGTTTTCATGCCTGCTAATACAACATCCATTCTACAGCCCATGCATCAAAGAGTAATTTTGACTTTCAAGTCTTATTATTTCAGAAATACATTTCATAAGACTATAGCTGCCATATATAGTGATTCTTCTGATGGATCTGGGCAAAGTCAATTGAAAACATTTCACAAAGGATTCACCTTCCTGGAGGCCATTATGAACATTCATGATTCAAAAAGGAGATCAAAATATCAACATTATTGGAAGTTTGGAAGAAGTTGATTCCAACCCTCACGGATGATTTTGAGGAGTTCAGGACTTCAGTGAAGAAAGTAACTGCAGATGTAGGGGAGACAGCAAGAGAACTAGAATGAGAAGAGGAGTGTGAAGATGTGACTGACTTGCTGCAATCTCATGATGAAACTTGAATGAGTGAAAAATGGCTTTTACAGATGCTAAAAGAAAGTAGTTTCTTGAGATGAAAACTACTCCAGGTAAAGATGCTATGAACATTGTTGAAATAACAACAAAGCATTTAAGATATCACATTAACTTGGATGGTAAAGCAGTGGCAGGGTTTGAGAGGATTGATTCCAATTTTAAAAGAAGTTCTGTGGATACAATGCTATCAAACAGCATTGCATGCTATGGAGAAATCTTTTGTGAAAGAAAGAGTCAGCCAGTGAGGCAAACTTCATTGTGTCTTATTTTTAGAAATTCCCACAACTACTCAAGCCCTCAGCAACCATCACCCTGAGTAGTCAATAGTCATGAACACTCTCCACCAGCAAAAAGATTATAAGCTCCTGAATACTCAGATGATTTTTAGCATTTTTTAGCAATAAAGTATTTTTAATTAAGTGTATGTACATATTTAGACATAATGCTATTGCCTACTTAATGGTCCACAGTACAGTGTAAATATAACTTTTTATATACACTAAAAAACCAAACATTTTGTATGACTCGTCTTATAGCGACATTACCTTATTGCAGTGGTGTGGAATAAATACCATAATATTTCCAAAGTATGACTATATTGGATCATGAGGGTAGACACCTCATGAATGAAATTAATGCCCTTATCAAAAGACAGATGAGAGAATACTTCCTCTCTCTTGCTGTCTGCCACGTGAGTATACAACTAAACAATGGCCATCTGCAAAACCAGGAAGCAGGCCCTCACCAGACATAGGATCTGCCAGCTCCTTGATCTTGGACTTTCCAAACTCCAGAACTGTGAGAATTAAATGTTTGTTGTTTTAGCCACCTAATCTATGGTATGTTGGTTATAGCAGCCTAATCTGATTAAGACAATTGGTCATATGTAGCTAGGGAATCTTAGCCAAGCAAATGAATACTTTCCACATTCTTTGATCCACCCTCCAAAACAGCCCGTTTCCTGAAAGTGATTTGTGAATATCTGTTGAGTGCAATTGTAGAAATGTGATTAGAAAACACATTGCTTGTCCTGCATCTCAACCTGCTCTGTTTTCGTTTTTCATCTATTCTGCTCCACTGTGTTCTATATTTCTAAGACTTAATGATGTAAAACAATACTTATTTTATGAAAGAATTGACATAGGTTTAATCAAACCTTACATAGCCTGAAAAATGAGTTGTATACCAACCTCTTTGTGGTCTAGTATTCCTGTGTCAATTACATCTGTCAAATATTGCATGTGTGTTTTGTAATCAAGTTTCTGACATTTCACATAATATCTTTTAAGTCTATTTTGAGTCAATTCATAACAAGAAATAAATGCCAAAACCAGTGTTGCCTTAATTGGGTTAATATAACATTGCATGTATTGGGTTAATTTTGCTTCTACAACCTAAATAAGATTTTACCAAATTTTCTTAAACATAAACTGAGTTGCCAATTTCAGTTAAATTAAATTCTCAGTTTCCAATCCTTAGATACTTATATTTTCCCCTCCAAGAAATAATTAAGAATTTGATCTTTCTTAGTCACACACAAAACTGTTATAGTAAACTGCCTTTTGTTACTTACATTAGTTTTTTCATAGAAGCAAATTGGCATGCACAAATAATCAATTTTAAAAATCACCTAAGATTCCAAATAGAACTATGAGGAGTTTCATGGAGCAGTTTCTCATTCTCTTAAAGACCCACAGATGTTCCTTTTGCCCTGCTAGTTTACATGACCCCACTAATCAGAAGGAAGATGGCCATCTGAAGGGGGAGGCAGAGATTAGAGTCATGCTGGCACACAGCAAGGAACGTCTGAGGCTATCTGAAGCTGCAAGAGACAATGAAATATCCTCCCCTTGAGTCTTCAGAGGGAGCATCACCCTGTCACCACCTTGATTTGGGATTTCTAGCCTTCAGAACTGTAAAACAGTAAATTCTTATTGTTTTAACCCAGTTTATGGTACTTTCTCATGGAAGTCTAAGAAACTATTACAACATCCTTTCATACCCCCATGTTTCTGACTCCCTTCCTTAATCTTCTAAATATTTTTATAATTTTTAAACTTCTTTATATTTTGAGTTTCTCCTAGTAGACTGTAAGATCCATGAGAGCCAGAAACAATGTTTTGTTTTCTGTTGTTTCCCTAATACCTAGCAATAATCATTGGAATATACAGATGTTCAAAAAATATTTC